TTTTTCCCCCTATTAAGCACACACAGTGAAAGAGAGCTAGTTAATGTTAATAAAATTCATGATGATAATTCATTTTGCATGTTCTGTGATGCTCTGTTAAAAAGACAGAATATCCTACCTTTGTAGGTGAAAAGTGTTGAGACAGGGAGGGCTTAGCAACTGACAGTGTAAAAGTTCCTTGCTGATTGTCAAGCTGAGACTCTGCAGCTGAGGCATGAGTCTGTGCAGGCTTTTCTGGCTTGCCAGCAATTCAGTTTTCATAGCACATGGCTCTTCTGGCCGTGAAGTATAGGCCATAGGTTCTTGTTGTCTGTTTTAACAGAGGAGAGCGTGGAAATGTTCAGTAGACTGGGGCTGTCCATGGATCCTGAGAATTCATGTATGTTTTTATTTTGGTGGTAGTATTAGAGATCCCAGCAGGGAATAATCCTGTATTTCTTGCTGAACAGAAATCTGAATGCTAACTAACCAGTTACGTCTTAGATGTACTGAAGGGGGATGAAAGTATTACCTGAGAAAAGTTTCATTTCCATATTCTTGTCTGTCTAGTATTACATGAAATTGCAAGTGGAGGAAGTTCTGCCCTGATTATAAAGTTTTTGTGCTGCTACAGTTTTATCAGTTTTAAACATGGTACATTTAAGGTAGAAGGCCCCCATATAACAAACATGGTTTACATGTTCCAGAGGCTACTATAGTAGTGGAAATAAGATCCACTGATATTTTAAAATCGTTATTGAGATAATGATGCTTAACATAATAGGATTAACATGCTTTAAGTGTGTTGATTTTTAAAATGGTAGCTATGATATCCCGTAATATATGTAGATTAATGCTTAATTGGCACATACTTGCTTTGTAATCTTAAATAGAACTATAGGTATTAATTTAAAATAATAATTCTTGTGAGTAGGTAATTTATTTTTGCATCAGAAATTGAAGTAATGTTTGCTACTATAAGAAAACATCTATCCAGATTGATTAAAGCAGAATTTTTTTAGAATTTAGTGAAGTATTATTTGAAATGGTGACTCTCTATCATCGATGTCCGGTCTGATGTTAATATATGTTTTACAAGGAAAGGAAGCAAGTTAATAGGGCTGCCTGCAGTGTGTGGAGCAAGTAGCTAGAGTAACTGGATAGTTCTTGTATGCTGAATTAGGTGTAGTCTTTGCCTTTTAGATCAGTGATTAAACTGAGCATCTCATGCACAATGCCCATGTTTATTGTGGGATCTGTCCTGAGCTCTGTTCTAGTTTTGTTGTAATTGAATTAATATAATAGAAATAATTGTTAATTTTATTCTGCTTCTGGCTTTACTTCCATGGCAGAGTAAGTCTGCATGTGGCGTGCCTGTAGCAGGTGCCTGGCTTTCTGCTGTTAGGTTTGAAGATTTGCATTTGATGCCTGGGTATTGCAAAGATTCCTTAATAGTGGAAGGTACTCCTGTTTTCTCAGTGCTTTGCCATTTATTCAGTGTAGTTGTTGAAACTGCTTAATTCTTTATTCTTTAATATTTATTTTCTTCAGAATTGATTTTAATTTGTTTAAACCAATAAATGAGATTAATTTTTGCATCTGTAGGAGATTGAACCCAAGACAAAAATTCAGGCTTAATGCCAGCATTGTTTTGGTTTTTTTCCCTGGGCCTTTCAGACAGTCGTTTTCTGTGTCTTAGACCATTCTCAAAAGTATCAAATAATGAGTATTATTGAGAAGTCTCCAGGAAATACACACATCCTTTTTCTTCAGCCTGTAAACAAAGTCAAAATTAGAGAAAACTTGAACTGTTCCAGGAAACAGGCCTCCCTGTTTGTTAGCAACCTCATTCTTTGCATGTGCTTTCCAAATGTGCTCCACCCTTACCCCTTCAAATCATTTTATCTTATTTAAGTTTCAACGTGGTTTCTGCAGTTCTTCAGCAATGAAATTTACAGAGTGGAGCCTGACTATTGTGTTTTGGGGTGTTGTTTTTTGTTGGTTTTTTTTTTTTTTTTTATTTTGGCTGTGGGATTGCAAGTCAAGGCTAATGGGAACATACCAGGTTTTAATTGTTATACAATAGCATATAAGCTGGAGCTTTGACTTACGAACATCTTTTGGCTCAGGGTTATGCCAACTGTTTCATGAAATATAGCACCGTTTTACTTTAGATAAGCCACATGGAAGAAAAATGTGAAAACATTCCAGTCTAGGCTTTCTAGCTGAACCTGTTCTCTGTATGCGCCCTCCATCTGACTTGAGGTAGGGGTGGGAAGAAAACCTTCCAGCAAAATCTGCTGGATTTTTCAGTCTCTCAGCTGTTAGAGCTGAGTTTGAACTGCGAGTTTTCTGAAATCCTTCTGTTACCACAGGTGCTGGTAAGCCTGTGTTACTGGGCTGGTATTGTTGGGTTTCAGGTGTTTGTTGCTGTATGTTATCTAACTCACGGGGTGCCTCCTTATGTAGTGAATTCATCATTGTTGTTGTCACAGAAACAGAATTTTTTACAAACAAATCTAAGCTATGAAGACTTAAGACTCGGTTCTGCTAAATGCAGGTTTGTAAGAATGAAAGGAAAAAGGACTTGAGCAGCTCTTTCAGAGAAGGCACCTTAAGATCTGATCCATTATTAGTCACTAAATTAAACTCTCAGTTCTCAAAGGATCAAGAATCACAGAATAGTTCAGGTTGGAAGGAATGTCAGGAGGGCGTCTAGGCCACCCTGCTCAGGGTAGCTCCAGCTAGGTAGGTTGCTCAAGGCTTGCTCAGGGCTTTCTGCTGTTGAGTTTTGAGTATCTCCAAGGATGGAGACTCCACAGCATCTCAGCACCCCCATTTTGGTATTTGACCAGCCTCAAAATTAAAATAGTTTGGCTGTATAAGTGATGGGAATTTCCTTTGTTGTAAGCTGGCCTATTGTCTTGTGCATCTGCAAGAAGAGTCTGACTCCCTCTTCTCTGTACCCTCTCATTTGGTCTCCCCAAACTGTTTTTCTTCTCAGCCTGAACTAACCCAACCAACATCACTCAATACATTTACACATTATTTATTCAAATGTTAGATTCTCATCTGTTCTTGAAAATCTGTTTTTAAACAAAGTTGAAATCTTGTTTTTAAGCCTGGTTTATTTCATGCTCTGTGCTTTTCTCACAGACTGTTCATGGTGGTGTTTATAATACCTGTATGAGTATGGAAAAATTCCTTTGCCCTTCAGTAATAACATAAGTGCAGTAGCAAAATCACTATTGCTAGTGGTGGTATCCACTCCTTACCTTTTTAGTTCTTTTTGATCACTTGTATAGCGTGGATGTTACTATTTTATTTTACCTTATTTTTTTAAACAAAAAGCTGGTGCCTTTTAGAAGTCAAATGTACCAGCCGTAGAGGACACTTTCAATGAAGTATATTCTTGCAAGCTGAAATGCAAGCTTTGTTTAAGAGGCAGCATTTCACTGAGGCAATAATAGTCTGCCTTGTTCTTAACGTTGAGTGTTCAAGATTGAAACATAAAAGGATCAGTTCCTGCTTTGTGGCATTGTGTAGATTGGAATGTAGTGTGGTGATGTGGAGCAAGCTACTTGCACCCATGTTTTAATTCCTTCTGCTGTAAAGAAGTCCTGAACTGAGGCAAGTAGGGAGGCAACAGTAGGAGTTCAACATTTATAATTTTCTTATCTCAGCTTGTGTTTAAACTGGTTTTGAAAGGGGTGATTTGGCTAACACTTCATCAGAGAGCTTACTGATGCTTCAGTCCATACAAAAGAACCCATTGCTGCAAACTAAGTACAAATGAGAACTGTTGATGCCAGAGTTAGGAGCTTGGGGTTACTGACCTCTATGTGGGTATAACTCTCTTTAGCAGAAGGATTAGTCTTGCAGGATACCCAAGCTAGCATGAGTATTAAGGAAGATGGAGTACACTGAGCGTGAGTTTGTCAGGTTTGTGGCCTCGTGCACTTTCTTCACAGAAAGGCCCAAGTGGTATTGCTTAATAGGGCTTTCTGAACCCCTTCTCCCTCCCTAAATGTGTTTGGGATATTTAATGTCTCTGTGAGTCTGTCTCTTTTTAAATTGGAGTGGTTATGAATCATCCAATTTCCTGCTGCAAATAATGCAGAAAAATTCTGAAGTAATTGTATGAGTAGCATTAACACAGCTTTGCATGGAGGCAGCACAACAACATTAGCAGTCAGAGTTGATGTATCGGAGCAGATGTTGTTGTTAGATGTTTTTCCAAACAGCAAAAGTAACTTTTGCAGCCATTCAGATGGGTATGGGTTAAGCTTTTACCAGCGTCGTTGTCAGGTGAAAGGGAGTAATGAAAATCTGTAGTGGTTCACCAGTAAGATAACACTCTCTTCTTACATCTCCTTAACTATAGTGTTGATAGTGAGAGGGGCTGCAAATGGGGGCAAACATGCTGAAATCTTGCTGCTCTTGCAATTATAGTATTGTTGAGGGGGGGAAGAAAAGAGCTGGAATACCACAGCCATGGTCTTAGAGTAGTGACTGGGAGAAGTCTAGGGAGTATTGCTGTGCTCACTGAAAAACTGGGACAAATTAACTGTGGGTGGAAGGAGGGCACTCAAGGCCTGGAAAGTATCCGTGGCAATGCTGTGTGTTAGACATGAGTGAGTCTGAATAGCTTTATTTGGATTTTAGGGTAGTTCCAGTTATTTTATTAAATGCATGTCCTGTTCCTAGTGCGTTGAACTGCAAATGAATACAGCTTCCTTCTGCCAAAAATCCCCAACCTTAAGATAATTTGGCAAGTTGCACAGGGTATGATATGCAACAATGGGTGTTAATATGTGCTTAATGAACAATATATAATAAACTTATAGACAACTGACACTCATCTGTTTTGTCCATATGGGGTTACAATATTTGTATTTTTATTCCTTCTGTCTTTTGGTTTATTCCTTCCTCTTATGAATATTCTTTTTAAATTTCAGAGTAATTGTTCTGGAAGCTCCCATGATTCAGTCCAATTAAGGAGAGTGGTCATTTCTCACAACATGGATAAAGCACTGAAAGAAGGTGAGTCTTAAGTTGGACAGAGGAGCATTAGACTCTGAGTATCTCCTGTCCTCTTAACAAACCATGACTGCACAGTATTCCAGGATTTTAGAACATGACCCTGATTTCTTCCTTGATATAAAAGTACAAGGTCTTGGTCTTCCCAAGAGGTCCACTGTAGTAGGTAATGTGATGTCAGTTTTGCAATTTAGCAGATAGTCTTGTCATTTTAGAACTGATAAATCCTATAGACTCTTGCACACAGTCTTCTCATTTAGTTTAATTCTTGCTGTGAGAACTGAATCTAAAAATCAACATTTGTATTTCTGGCTGATACAGTCTATGAAATCAGTGGATCACCAGTACAGTCACTGGACTTCGAACTGTAAGATGTGATCTATGGTCATATGGTTTTAAAATACCTTGTTTATAATTTTTAAAATAAAGAGTAACTACTGCTTCTGCACACATTATTTTCAACTGACTCCTGGTAATGCAAATAGTGTAGAACCTGGGATAGTGTCAGAGTTAGAAGTAATAGGTAAAAATCTTTGGTTCAAAGCTTACTCTGGGTTGGAACATAAAGATGGTGCTGGGGGGGGGGGAAGCCCAACTAGTACATTAAAAAAAGAAAGTACATAAGAAGAGTTGTGTACTGTAGCTTTTAAAGTATACATATAAAATGTGGTGCCAGTCCAGTCGTTTGTATTTTATCTCATTTTGAATATTTTTTCATTCAGATTTCTTTGCAGCACTGTTTGTTTTGGGTGTTTGTTTGTTGTTCCCCACCCCCCATCTGGAGAGTATGTTTTAAAATTATCATTGCTTTAAACAGGTTGGTTGTATTATGAAAACTTCTTGGATGTTTTTAAAGTTATTTTTATGAATACTATTAGCAGGACATGTAGCTAAAATACATTAGAATACATATGTCGTGGTTTAAGCCCAGCCGGCAACTTGGAACCACGCAGCCGCTCGCTCACTCCCCCCCCTCTTCCTTCCTCCCCCCGCTCCCGGAGGGATGGGGAGGAGAATCGAAGGAATGTAACTTCCACGAGGTGAGATAAAAGCACTCCAGTAACTAAGGTATAATACAAACCACTACTGCTACCAATAATAGTGATAAGAGGAATAACAAGGGAAAAGGACACAACCGCTCACCACCCGCCGACTGATACCCAGCCCGACCCGAGCAGCGATCTGGGCCTTCCGGGTAACTCCCCCCAGTTTATATACTGGGCATGACGTGCTGTGGTATGGAATACCCCTTTGGCCAGTTTGGGTCAGGTGTCCTGCCTCTGCTTCCTCCTGGCTTCCCCTCCTCTCTGGCAAAGCATGAGACTGAGAAAGTCCTTGGTCAGAGTAAACATTACTTAGCAACAACTAAAAACATTGGTGTTATCAGCATTGTTCCCAGACTGAAAGTCAAAAACACAGCACTGCACCAGCTACTAAGAAGGAGAAAAGATGACTGCTGTAGCTGAACCCAGGACAACATACTATGTCATGTTTCTGTGAAGGTGAACTATGACAACGTATCATAACTTGGTTTTAGGCAGCATTTTCGTCTGGAATCAATCAGATTATAGGATTCCTTATGATGAGAAAAGGATAGTAGAGTCTAAACATTACATGTATGAAACAAGCCCAGACAAGTTATTTGCTGCATTCTCTCACATGCATACTATTTTGAATAGCCTTGGAATTTGAAATGAAGCTTTGACGTAATCAGCATAAAATCAGAGGTAGTGGGGTTATTTGGAGACAGACAACAGGTATTGTGGAATACTGGGAGAAAGACAGTTGTGTTACACTTCCCTCTCGTTAACTTGCACACAGGAGTAACTCGTGTGCCTGTAAAGAATATGGAAGCTGTCTTCATCTAAAGTATTTATTCTACAGATCATTCAGCTGGATGCATGAGTCCATCTTTACTCAGTAATGCTGAAAGAAAGTTACCAGTATTTAAGTGATTTATTTTCTTGCAGTTGAGGACCTTCTGTTGTGACAGCTTACTTGCCTGTTATTTCTTTTCAGAGTAGTTTTTTACCCTCTGTTCTCACTCTGAAGTTTGGAGAGCAAACTTGTCAGATTTGGTTGTATTTCTTCCAGGCCTAAGTGATGAAGCCAACTTCTCCCCCAGTTGTGAAAAAAAGACCAAAAAGAAAAAAAAAAAAAGAGAAAAAGTACAGTTTGACAAAGATGAGACTGTACTTTTCACTCTTCCACACGCAGACTTAAGCAAGTGTTTTGGTTTTGGAAGGTATCTGAGTCATCCTAAGTTTCAGATACTGAATGAATCCCAAAAGAAACATTTTACTTGCTTATTAATGTGATCGGTCTGTCTGTGAATAGACAGAACACATTCCTTGCCCTGTTGTGGTTCTGAAACTTGTAATTGTCTTGATATTCTGAATGCTTTTTTTAACTTTAACAAGTTTGTGGTAACATAAAACATTATTAATAATGATACAAAAAATACTGTCTGTGTTTCTATTTCCAGTCTCACACTGATGAAGATTAAAGTATTTGTAAATCCCAGGAATTTTTGGGCAACTTCTTACTGTCTAGATGTAACATGCTGTTCAACAAAATGCTTTAAAAAGCCTAATTCGTTTAGTTAGGAGACTTTCAGTTGTCCTGAGGTTTTAATCTTGGGGACCATTTCAGACTCCTACCACCACTTGAGGTTTTGAGTAGGCATTGTCAGATTATCACAATAGATGAGGTTTTGCAGTGTTTTTTATTCAGGTTTTGCTTCTCTTTACATTACTGTAGAGATGTGCAGGGGGGTTGGAACTAGGTGATCTTAAGGTCCTTTCCAACCCTAACTATTCTATGATTCTATGTAAAGATAGATTTTGATAGGAGCCAGCATCATCTAATTTTGAAAATGCTGTTGCTGGTTATGAAGAGACAGCCTTTTGGTTAATTCTGACTTCACCTGTTTTTCGTCATCTGTAATTAAGTATGTGTAGGGTTTACTATTAGTTGCTAATTATCTTTCACCCCTTAAGAATAGACTGTTGATTGTTAGTCATGCCATGTGTTTGCTGGTGTTACAGCCAGTCTGTGGGGACTTTCTCTCGGGGTTTAGAGCAGCTCTCCTGAGGTTCCGTGAGGTGTCTCACTTGACAAACTGTCACTTGCTTTACTGCCTTTTTTCTGACGTTCTCATTATAGCCTGTTAATGTAGTTGGAAAATCAGTTGTATCAGTGCTTATCCTTAGTTTTAACTGAACAAGTTATGCATGTTTCCATTTCAACCATTTCTCTTATTGAAGTAGACTTAAAAACATGACGGTGCTTAGATTAGGTTTCTTGTGATGGTCATCGGCTGATAATAGATGCTGTGCCTTGGATAGCTTTTCATCTTGCCAAAGCCAGGGTAACAGAGTTGTTAGGAAATGTCCTTCTCCAGTGTTGGTCACTAAGCATCACTAAGAAGGAACTTCAGTTTGTGTTGGTTTGCAGCTCAGTTCTAAACTTCTTTCCTATCTCCCAGTGACGACAGAGTGGTATAAAAGGATGGTGCTTCATTCTTAATTATAGCGTACTTACATAAGCCGTAGATATAAGGTGAGGGAAAGCTGTGAATTAACTCTGCTAGTGTGCAGTGTGTTTTATGAAATCTATGTGCTCAAAATCAGAACAAGTACATATTAAAAGAAGATTTTCATTGTTTAGTATGGCAGAAAGAGAAGGCCTTTTAGTTGTAAACACCTGCGTTCCTTTTTTAGCCAGTAGTACTTGAGTGACTACCATTGAAATGTGTTTTTTCAGTACATCTTATGCTTTTTCTTGATAGATTGATTTGATTCTAATTTGCCATTCATTCATCTTACACAAAAGACAATCCACTTTATGAATACTTTTAACATTTCCTGTTGCTTATCTGGTAACTTCATGTGTTCAGCCCATATCATATGGTAGGTGAGGAACATGTCTCTGAAGAGAGGCTCTGCTCAGTCAGCCTCATGCTGCTGCCATTTGGGCTGAGGGCTGTAGCTGTCAGTAGACTCACTCGCTGTGTGTGCAGCCAGGCCTCCAGGAACTGAATTTCATCTTCCGTTTTTATTGCCCCATGTCCTGTGGTCTTTTTGTTACGCTTCACAGCCGGTCTTTGTTTCTACTGCTTTAATAGTGCCAAGAAAATTAGTTTCCATATTACTTACCTGCTTTGCTCAATCATTTATGAGTAAGTAAATCAGCACAGGCTGTAGCACAGATCCCAGCAGAACTCCACTGGTGAAATACTTCTGCTGTGAAAATTGACAGTTTGTTCATATCCCGTGTTTCTTAGCTATTAAAATATTTCATGCCAGAGTGTCATCTCTTCTTTCATAGTGGCTTATCTTCCTTCAGCCCTGTGTTGAGGTGACCTTGTTGGAAGTATTTTGGGAATTTAATTAGATTGTACCTGTGGATCAGATCTTGCCTGTCTGTGTTCTTGTTGGCCCCTTGATAGAACTGTCAGGGATGTGAGGCAGGAGTGCACAGAATGAGGTTTTTCCCAATCTGATTTCCCAACTGACGATCCACACATTGACATTTAGGGAAAAAAAAATTGCAGTAGCTTCTGCTGCTCTCTATGTGAAAAGATGTATGTGTGTGTATATATATATATATTTTTTTTTTTTTTTCCCCCACAGCTCTCAAAAAATCAGTTGTTAGGGTCCAAAATATGAGCAAGACTTATTCTGAATTCATGTTCTCTCTGCTACTGGGATTCAAACTCTTGGATCTGAGGACTTTTGGCAAAGGGTACATGGACAAAACTATTCAAACAGATTTTTAATTTATTTTTTCAGATGCATTTCCTAGATCTTTTTAACACAGTTTTCTCTGTTGTTTATATCCTTGTAAATTTCCATCTTCTTTTCTGCACATTCATTGTAATTACTAAGAAATGCATGTCAAGAAAATTTTTAATTAAAATAAACCGAGCAATGTGGAACTATTCCTGATGCAGGATCTTAAAACAATTAATATTAATATTGCATTTGTATTTTACAGATTTCACTGCTTGCTATTGTACAATAACTCAAGCCAGTGTTGTATCTATACCTCCTCCTCTGTTGTTCATACAGTCACTTCAAAGTTTTGGATTTGACCATAACTTCATGTAATGGTTCTGGTCTCTCCAGTGCTTTCAGGAAAGGAGATTTGCTTCTTGTTTGAAACTTGGAAGTCTGTGTCTGCATTTGCATAGGAAGAATATTTTGGTCTGTTTTTTAATGGTGCTTTGAGAAAATGGGTAGGCATTTAGTCCTTGTTATTCAGATTTCTCTGTTGTTTTTTGTAAGGTTGGGTAATGAATCCTAGCAGCATAAAAACTAACATGAAGCTCTGCAGGTTGTAGATTTGAAGCCAGTGTGAGTGCCTGGCTCTTGTGCTGAATGAAAGTGGAAGAAGAGGTAGCAATTACTCTAGACCTGCATGGGATTAGGAATGAAGGAAGGGTCTAGTGGGGGGTGTCCTCCACACAAGCTTCTGGCTCTCTACTCCTAACACTC